ATTCAACAACTGAAGCTAAACAAATATGACTTGTTGAATCTAACTCATTTTAAACAAATATGACAAATAGGATTGTTTTTAAAAGAATAAAAAGAAATAAATGCATTTTAAAAATATATATATATTAGGAGAGCTTAACTTGCTATTTATCTTGTTATGAAAGTTACAATGGAACTGAAAAAAAGTAACTTATGACTATTTTTCACACATTTATGAATGTTGCAGTATCCCCATCGTCACGTGATTTACATTCGGATGCTTGACAATTGACTCGGATTTATGATAGTTTGCAAGTATCTTTTGCAACCCCCGGACAAGAGAAATCAATGGGGAGGCCAGATTCACTTAACAACCGTGTTACTAATTTGGCCACCGCAGGGATTCACTTAACAAAGAAACGGCAAGAAAAATCGTAAAATGGGCAAAACTGTCTCCCTTAGCAACATCGTTATGCCCCTGGTGGAGACTGACTCTGAGGGAGAGGAGGAACAGCCGACAGGGAGTGGAAGTGTGGCTCCGGAGGTTGTGGAGGAGGCTGGGTCAGGGCAGAGGTCTGCTGAGCAGGCAGAGGAGGACCCAGGCCCATCCCCTCTCCATCCTAGGGCACGCAGGGAGGAGAGGATTAGGGAGAGACGTGGTCTACTCAGGAGGAGAGGGCCTTGATCCTCTTCATGGGCTGCAGCTGTGACAATTGAATAAGAGTACGGACCTGCGTATGGGCTAACGCTGGAAACAAAGCGTGGAAATATCTCTAGTTTATGGTTCCTCTCTGAGTTTGGCGTCCTTCTTAGTGTGTGTTATCTGTGAATGTCCTCCAGCCCTTATCTTGCCTAGTTTGTGTTGCTTTTTTCCTTCTTTTTGTAACTGTTTGTGTGGGAGTTTCGTCTTCCATCAAGAATATTTGGAACTTGGAAGCAAAGTGAAGGAATAAAAGGGGCTTCACCGGTTTTCTGTGACTGTGTTTGTTTTGTATCCCACCTGGGTCATCACAAACATAAAAGTTGGGCTCAATTATGGTCGCACGTTGAGGACTACCTTTACTTTGTTTGTTATTGGAACTCCTTTGCCCATTTTACACTAAAGGTTATCAGCCATAAATCCATATATTTTTGCAGCTGCAAAACAGGTGAACTGTTTCTTTCAGGGAAAAAAAAAAAAGAACCCCTAATTTGATCAGCCATAGAAAAAGGAAATTTATAAATCTGAGAACCTTGGAAGTTGCCTGACAGTAGTAATTTGACTGCCAGTGTAGCTAATGCTTTCCTCCATAGAATCTAACTAGAATGCACTAGTCTACAGCCAGATAACAACAATGTGGCTTTAATAAGCAAAGTAAGTCATATTTTCTCCAACCTTGGCAACTTTCTGGGAGTTGAAGTCCACCAGGCTTAAAGTTGCCAAGGTTGGAGACCCCTGTCCTACGGGACCATAACTGTCTTGTAAGATCCATCAGGAGAGACATGCTGGGATCCCTTCTGTGATATAACCACCTGGCAAGGCCAGGAAAAGAGCCATTTCTGCCAGGGTGCCAGCCTTCAATTCTCCAAAGATTAGGCTTGCTGGGGCCCTGGTGCAGTCTGCACGGCATTGAAAACTTGGGGTTTTTAAAAATTGCTTTTCCCAAGATGGCGCTGCCAATGGCAGTCTCGGTGAAATGCTCTCTGATAGTTTTTCTGGGTTTTTTTAATCATTCTCTGTGACTTGTATTTTATTTTTTTCATTATGTACCTTGAGAACATATGCACCAAAGTCAAATTCCTTGTGTGTCCAATCACACTTGGTCAATAAAGAAAGTCTATTCTGTTCTAATTCTATTCTATTCTGATTCTAATCTAGTATTCTATTTTATTCTATTCTAATTCTACTCTATTATTCTATTCTATTATTCTATTCTATTCTATCCTATCCTATTCTCTATCCTTTTCTATTCTATTTATTCTCTATTCTATTCTATTCTATTCTATTTATTCTATTCTATTCTATTCTATTCACTCTACTCTACTCTACTCTATTCTCTATTTTATTCTATTTTCTATACCCTTCTATTATCTTCTATTCCATTTTAATGTTAGCAGACTGGAGTCATGTTTGTGAGATGGGCAGTCGTACAAACGTGTTAAATTGTAGGCAGTAGAAGAAAATGCCACTTTTTTTTTGCAAGCACAACTTTCCCTGATGCGTTCTGTGGAACTGAGCAACTGAAGAATGCCAGCAGGTTAAGAAAACTCAAGTGCGCAGAGCCAAATTCACACCCCAAAGGTAGAACGAACAGAGAAAAAGGAAACACTTTGGCCACCTGCCAAACTTCCACGAAAGAGGAATGCAGGAGGCTGTGTGTTAGGAAAAGGGCTTGCTTCACAGTATGAAAACCGTTACCTACAGAATGCATTTGTGGGAGAGAAAGGGAAAGGGATCCCTAACACTTATGAGGCTCAGACCTCTCCTAGAAAGTTCTGACTCAAAAAACTCAGGTTTTAAAATACAGCCTTCTTTGAATTGGGGAGGGGGGCAATGTGATTTTTCTCAGGCAAGTTTTTAAGTCTCGGATGTAAATTTTGCGCTTTTCTCGCATGTCAACATAGACCAAGCCACTTCAACGTGTTTCTTTGTTCTAGCTTTCTTTCTTTTTTGACTAAATTCAAAGGTAAAGGTTCCCCTCACACATATGTGCTAGTTGTTTCCGGCTCTCGGGGGCGGTGCTCATCTCCGTTACAAAGCCAAAGAGCCAGAGCTGTCTGAAGATGTCTCTGTGGTCATGTGGCTGGCATGACTAAATACTGAAGGCACACAGAACGCTGTTACCTTCCCACCAAAGGGGTCCCTATTTTTCTACTTGCATTTTTATGGGCTTTCAAATGGCTAGGTTGGCAGAATCTGGGACAAGGAACAGGAGCTCACTCCGTTACACGGCGCCAGGGATTCGAACTGCCTAACTGCTGACCTTTCTGATCGACAAGCTCAGCGTCTTAGCTACTGAGTCCCTAAATTGAAAGGCAACCAACCAAATGGAAAGCTTTTTCTGAAATGGGACGTGTAATTCCAGAGTGCAGATCAAGTTTCCCAGACAAACCTTAACTTAGTTTAGTTTACTTTATTGTCATTGCACCTCGTACAACGAAATCAAACACCATCTTCAGTGCACATCATGACCATGAGCATGAAAATAAACACAAACACACATTCTTCACCTTTCACACATTGAACCGGAAACCCCCGACAATGCACCAACACTACACTATACAGCAAAATTCAAAACAGCTACTGCCCTGGGATAGAAGCTGTTTTTCAGCCTATTTGTCCTTGTTTTTATTATTGTGTACTGTCTGCCAGATGGTAATAGTTCAAAAAAAGGGTTCTCAGGATGAGATGGATCTTTGAGAATGTTTTGAACTTTCTTAAGGCAGCGGGAGCTATAAAGCTCTTCCAAAGAGGGGAGAGGGCAACCCATGATCTTTTGGGCAATGACATTAACCCTCTGGAGTGCCGTCCTATCTGCCACTGTGCAATTCGCAAACCCTACACAGATACAATAAGTTAAGACACTCTCTATGGTGCAGTGGTTGTAGGTCACCATCAGTTTCTTATTCAGTTGTTGTTTTCTGAGAAGCTTCAGGTAGTATAATCTCTGCTGAGCCCTTTTGACCAGGGCTGCAATGTGGGCATCCCAGGTCAGGTCCTCTTTTATGGTAACACCCAGAAACTTAAAACTGGCCACTTGCTCCACTCGGTCTCCATTGATAAGCAAGGGCTGGAGGTCTGATCTGTTCCTTCTATAATCCACTATAAGTTCCTTGGTCTTATTGGTGTTGGGGACCAAGTTGTTGTCTCCACACTACAAAAGCAAATGGTCCACATCTCAGTAGGCAGATTCCCCCCCCCCCCCAGATAAGTCCCACCACTGTTGTATCATCTGCAAATTTAGCAATAGTATTACTAGCATGAGTGGGAATGTAGTCATGCACAACAATATATATACACATACACACTCACACACACACACAGAGAGAGATTATATAGATACATACAGACATATTGTGTGTGTGTGTGTGTGTGTGTGTGTGTATGTATATGTATGGCATTCAGCTTTGTTCGGGTATTTTCCCACATCATTGTACCTGTGCTTTTAAAGTTGTAGCAACTTTCGGCAGAATCTCATCTGCCATCATCAGGCTTCTGTATTGTGTTCATCTGTGAGTCAGACTTTTACAGTGGCTTCAGATTTAAATTTGGGGCAGCCTATTGCTGTGCCAGAATGGTTTTTTCTTCATCCTGATTGGTTGGGAGTTTTGGTCTGTGTTTATTGGTCTTGGAGTTTGCTGTGTTCTGCTTGATTGGTGTTTCTAATATCTTCTGTCTGTTTTTTGGCTCTTTTTGTATCTTGATTGGCTGGCAACATTGTGTTACTTTATTGTGTATACTATATACTGTATACTATACACACACACACACACACACACACATATATATATATATATATATATATATATAGGGAACCAAACCTTAATTTAGTTATACATATATATACACACACACACGGGGGGGATATAGATATATATATATATGTAGCCCCCTCCCTCCTGCAAGGGTACGCCGCTTATTCCGGCGCCCTGTCGCTCCCCCGTCCTCCTGCAGCCTCCAAATGCGGAAGAAGGGCAGCTCCTAATCGCCCCTAGCGCCCTCCAGTGGGAGGAGGAACTACGACTCCCAGCGGCCCCCGCGAGTGTGCCGGTGTTCCTGCCAGCTGGAGGGGCGGCCGGGGTTTGGAAGTCTGGAGGGACGCTTGAAGCAGCCGGACGAAGCCAGTACGGAAGCCCGCCTTCCTCCGGGCCATATCCCCCCAAACAGGACGCTTCCCCCGAGACGTCAGGGTGACGTCAGCCGTGGCCGGAGGCCAATCGGAGAGGGAGCTTGCAAGCGAGGTATTTCCGCTTCATTAGAAGCGACGGTGACGCCTATGCCTGCTTGGCGATTGGCGGCGGCGTAGTGACGTCATGTCTGCTTGGAGATTGGTGGCGGCGGCCGGCGCGCGCAAGTGACGTTGTGGCAAGCGGAAGCGGGGCCGAAGAGGAGAGAGAGAGAGAGAGAGAGCGAACGAGCGAGAGACGCCCGCGGGGCGGCGGGGAGGCCCGCCTGGCGCCGCCGATGTCCCCGCAGCCGCCCATGGAGGCGATGGAGGCGCCGCTCAACCTAGTGAGGGCCGCGGGCCGGGCGAGCGGGAGGTCCAGCCGGCCCGGGGCTTGCCCGCGGGCTCCGTGGCCGGGCTCGAAAGCCGTCCGCTGGGCGGGACCCGAGAGGCGGGGGAGGGGAGTCTAAAGCGCCTCCCTCCCGGGAAACGGGGTTCCGGAGCAGCCCCTGGGCTGGTGCTCACGGGAGGGTCCCGGTGTGGCGGAGTCTGCCCGGGCGGCCCTTCGCTCTCGAGGCGCTTGGGCAGGCAGGCGGCTCTCTCCGGGGCTCTTCCCCCCCTTCCCTCCCCCCCGGGGGCCCCCCTGCCTCCGGGGGGGGGGCGACGGGGCCAGGAGTGCCCGCAGGCTGCCGGGTCGGGGAGGCTCCTGTCCTGGGCCCCCCTTTTTTGGGGGGGGGGTCCTGCTAGGCTTTCCCAGGTGATGAATCGGGAGACATCCCGACAACGGCTGGGGATGGGCGCATTGTCCGGGCGCCCAGTTTCGTCACCTTTCTCCCTCCCCCCCTCTGTCCCTCCCTTTCTCCCTCCCTTTCTCCT